CTCACATGGCTGTGGGCAGGAGGACTCGGTTCTGTGTCCCATGAGCCTCTCTACCAGCATCCTCATGGCATGACTGCTGGCTCCTTCTCCTGAGCAAGTGATGAGAGACACAGAGAGGGGCAGAGAGATGAGACACAAAGGTCAGAGATGCAGAAGGGCACAGGCGGACAGCAAGAAGCAGAGTGAGCAACCGCCACGGTGACTCTTATGAACGCAGGAGTCTACGCTGCTGTTTCCACCACGGTCTACTCATTAGCACCACTAAGTACTTTGCATACTCAAGGGAAGGGAACAGGACTCTGTCTTTCAAAGAGAAGCGTGTCAAATACACTTTGAAAATATTTTAACACCACCGTGCCGATAGCGCACACAGTAAAGAAAGCTGCAGGACTATCTCCCATTTCTTTTTAGGAGCCAAAGAATGTCCCTTCGTGCCTCGTCCTTAGTAATCGTGCTCCAGCACTATTTGAAAGAGCAGTGTGCTCAATCAAAATACCACACTTCTGCTGCTTTGAGCTTTGGCCATGGAGTACATGGTAGCAGGCTGTGACTTCCTGGGGTACTTAGTCCTACTATTCTGCCCGTTCTGTCTCCCAGCTCTTTGGTATCTGAGCATGATGATAGATTCTGCACAGGCCTCCTAGACCATGAGCGGTCTTGGAAATGAACTACACAGAGAACAGAGACAGAATAAATGACTAAGGAGAAACCAGAAAACCAACTTCTCTGTTTTGCTTTAACTAGTATTACTGTCGGGTCATCCTAATGCCGATATGTGCATCCCTGGACATGTGATTCTAATTGTCTTCTGTTTACTCTCTTTTCTTGGGAAATTGTCTGTCTCACCCCACAGTAAGTCACTGGCAGGGCTTTACTGAAAGGCATTGGTCTTTTAATGCCAGTCCTGTTCTGCTTTAACCCCAACCCATAGACTCTGTGTGTATGGAAGGAAGTTCTTTTTCTAGCCAACTTGGAATTACTAAACTTTCTTTTAGTTTCTTAGACATTAAGGACTTTGAATTATAGCAAAGTTGAAAGAGACTTCACTGATTTGGGTTTGAGAGGAACACTTCTCAGGGGGAGAGAGCTTGTTGGGTTCACTTTCACTTGCTGGCTTTGCAGACCATGTTCAACCTTTTATTCTTTACAACTCACTGGGACTTTCTGATATCCCTTCTACTCAAACCACCTCTTAAAGTCCCTTCCAGCCCCTAGAAAATGCTGTCATCTATAATGACAACAGCTTACTGTCAAAACCTTTAGCTGTTTAGGCACTAGATACCTTGGAGTTGACTATATCTAACCCTCACAGCCACCTGGAAGTGTATTCCTGTTACCACCTTTAATTTAAGAGGAAGGACCCACCCCCTGGATCCTCAGTCAGGGTTACACAGTTCAAAAGAGCCCGAAATTGGATCGAAACTAGGCTCAGAATGAGCTCAGGGCCAGTCTTCTCTCCACTTTTCCTGTTCTTTATTCTCCATGGCCACTTTGGTGGACACATTTAGTTACGTACAAAGTATAAATAGAGGATGAAAATGACAACCTCACTGCCAAACTGGCTGGCTCTGGCATGCCTAGTCTGGGAAATGCATCTGTCTACGTTTTTTTCTGAACAGAATTTGTTGGAAGCAGATGAGCAAATCCTTGGTGGTGTGGGCCATCAGCCAGGATGGGGGAGTCACTTCACAAAGTGAAATTTTAGGTTAAAATGGTATTTCTTAAAGTCAAAATGGGATTCTTCCTGAGGACTGTGTTTTCAGGGGAAGCACCCAAGGGGAAGCACTCGGACCTCGCCTGTGTCCTTCCCATTTTCTTTTCCGCTCCTTCCAATGGGCGGCAGCGTCACCGGAAGCCACATCACCGTGCACAAAGCACAGCGAAGACTGAAAGGACCAGGAACGGGCGCGACGGGGGAGGCAGAGAGACGGTGGGGCGTTCACATGTCTCCTCTAAGCACAATATATTTCCTTCACTGAGTTACATTTTAATTTAACATTCACGTATCCTAATAGATTGGGTTTTAATAATTATATTTTTATAAATGGAGAAGTGGAATGGCCAGAGTTAAAGGTCAGCAGTCAGATGTAGTAAATAATCAGATTAGAATTTGAATTCTCATGGTCTGATCTCCAAACTCCTGCATGGTGCTTTCCACGGCCCAGTCTCCTCTCCAGTCTTCTTACAGGGTCGCTTGTAATTACATTTCAGGGCTTACTTGGACAGGCCAGGACTCTCGTCCATCTCAAGATCCTTAGTCACACGGCACAGCCCCTTTGCTATGGAGAGTAACACTCTTAGGTTCCAGGGATGATGACATGGGGTCGTTAGTCAACCCGCTACGCTCACTTTTGTTTCTTTTTAAATGATGTGTTGTTTAGTCTGATTAGACAAATGTGCTCACTTTTGCCTTACTTTCTCATTTATCTTGCTAATTCCATTGGAAGATAGATTCAAACAAGGGTTTGAAGAAGAGTGGTTTAAAATATGGAGCATATAAGACCTGGAATTATTCAGTTAGAGTAAGTGCAATTCCATTTGCTCTCAAAAGCTGTGATTCAGAATCCGTAGACACCCTCAAAGCCTTCACGTTCCTGCTTCTCACTCGTGGGGGTCGTCTGACTTCTTAATTGAGTGCACTGAGTTAAGTAGCATATTTTTATTTGCTCCCTTTCTGCTTCTAGGAGAATGACCAGAAAGTAGCACTCAGGTGGGGGAGGGTGCAGAGTGACCCTCGATCCTCAAGTTGTTTCATCAGTGCCCGGATAATGAAAGTGCCCGGATGATGAAAACTTGGCTATAGATTCAATCCTACAGCTATATAGGAAAACTCATTTTCCTCCTGTGTGGCCTTATTTCCTTCTTTCCAGGAAGGCTCCCAGGGCCTCATTTAGTGAGATCTCGTGCTCAGAGAGCGAGATTTTGAGTGTCAGCAACTCATCTCAGCGGAAGCAGCCTCCTGTGACTTTGAGGCTGGCCCCTCAGGTAAGCTACACAGTGTAGTGGCAGAGTGTGCTTGAACACTGCGTCAGACAGAGCAGTGTCTGAATCCCAGCTCTACCACTTGGTACATGATGCGCTTGAGCTTAATAAGGACCTGTGGGTCTCCACTAGTGGAATGCAGATAACAGTGTGTTCTGTGCATAGAACTTGGCTGGGTCAAATACAAATAGGTCCCTTAGCAACTGCCGGCCTCTTGGCATAGGCTGCACCTGTAGGGTGCAGAGGGAACGTCTGGAGCAGGCTTGGCAGCGTGGCTTTGCTTTGCAGACCATCCTGGAGGTAATGCTAAAGGTAGGTGGTGTGCCTGTGAGAGGACTCGAAGACGGGCTTCTCTGGACAACTCTACAGGGACTGCAGGTGGGCTCTGTACCTGGTCACCTTCGTAGGGAAGGTCACTCGGCCTGTGTCAGTGGAGAAGGGAAGGAGAATTTTAGGTAGGCTTTAGGTGAGTTTCCCAGTTGTACCAGACGTCAAGCCAGCACATATTGCCGGGCTTTAATGTTATGTCTTACACCTTACCAGTGAGGGAGGGAAGGATGGATGGTGTGCGTGTGTGTGTGTGAGTGAGAGAGAGAGAGAGAGAGAGAGAGAGAGAGAGAGAGGGAGAGAGTCATTATTCAAAAACTATCCAGTATTCCCTCTGGATACTATGGCTATCATCACATATAAACAGCATGATTATAGTTAAAAGCACAATATCACCTTTTTCAGCTCTGAGGACAAATGTTGCAGACTCTTCCAGAACACCGGAAAAAAAAGAGCAGCAAGCTTGGGTCCTGGGTAGCTCCTTTAAAGCTGCTCACTTTTCCTGGAGACCTCCACCTCCCATGTGACATAATAAACCCTTATAATGAATCACTTAGTCCCTCAATCTGCCCTGCAGAGCTGAAGCACCCTAATGGGAAGGCTGGAGGTCCCCGCCATCAGCAGGACGGCCCCCTGAGGTTCTGTATGCTCACCATCTTCCCTGAGACCATGGCTCTTGGTACAGTGTGAAGCCGGACTGTAAGAGCAGTGTAGAGTCCACCTGGGCTGGAATAGGAGCTGGGAAAATCAGAGTGAGAACTCCAGATGGAAGCCTCCTCACCTCTTCACCAGGAGAATCTGACTTTTACTCTTAAGCAGAATTTCCATAAAGTATAAGCCCCTGCTGGCTGATCCCTTTCTTAATCCCTGAAGTATAAATTTATCCCCAGGCTTTTGCCTCCCCTCAGCCTGCCTTATGTGTGACTTGCAAAGCGTTGCATGTTTCTTCCTTTTTTCAACTATTTTTCAGTCAATGAAATATTTATAGTCAATATAAAGTCTATTTCTTGGAAAAATCACAAAGTAAACCAAAAAGAAGCCCGGAGCATGTTTCGGAATAAAGGAGAATTTATAATATCACTTTCTGATATCTATCTTCTTTGTATCCATATCCTTAGCAAAAATAGGTAATAAGAAGAGAAAGGGCAAGATATCACACTTTTCTTTTGGAGAAAAATGAAACAGTTTGCTTAAAATGATACTATCAAGAGGTTTTATTTGCTTAAACCATGACTCAAATCATGTCTGAACTTTTCAATGTTAATAATGTCATTTTGAAAATTGCTTATATAAACACTTATGTAATAAAATATTTTAAATCCTTCTAATAATTTCTCATAAAAGTTTAGGACAACTAAAAAGTTTATCAGTGCCAAATGTTGGAATACAAATTTCAAAATCATCCTACTGCAATTTTTCTTACCAAAGCAATGAAAGTTACTGGATTTTGTGGAATGAAAAAATCTTATGAATTTACAGTTAATAAAAAAGTTCATACTTTGCAAATGATAAAACATTTGAATTTGGATGCTAAGAGTCTTGCAAGCCAAAGAAGAACAGACTGTCCAAATTTTGCTTACTTCTTAGATTGTCAGTGTTCTAAGAAGATGTGATTTCCAGGGACCACAGAAAAATCCAGTGGTCTCTTCCTTTTGCTGCTGGGCAGTGCTTGGGAACAAGTCCTAAGGATTCTCTCGGCCCATTGGTCATTCTGCTTCACTTTGTCCTAAGTAGGAGGAGCCACGCTAACAAGTCTTAATTCTGCAGGTAACTGGGAATCCATTCAAGATTTTAAACTACACAGTGATCTGATCCCTAGTTTTACAGCCAGAACTGCTGAGAAAGGCTATAAATAAAAGGTAGACACGACTGAAGCCACTGCAGAGGGACTTCCAACGGTCCCTCTGATAGAACAAGGCCCGAGTAGATAGAACAAGACCCGAGTTCAGCAGAAGCATGGCAGATGCACAAGTGTACAGGGGGTGAAATTGGAAGACCCCAAGCTCATACACTGGGGAAGAGGAGCAGAGCTGGGACTAACGGAAGCGAATTAGAATTGTGAGGCTTGTGAAATGAACTGGCGCTAAGGTCTGAGATTCTCCTAGTTACAAGACACTCGTTCAGAGTGTGCGTTATATGCTTGCAACATCTATATCGACTTCTGAAAGGAGATTAAATGTTATTCACTTTTTATTTTCCTGCTTTTGATTTTCAGCTGTTTCAGACAGCTGTGGTGCTGAGGCAAATGGCCTGCTAATTGTGTGCTTAACTGATGAGTGTGCAGTGAATAGAAAGCGAGTTATGTCACCTTCTGCTGTAATTCTCTCAGAGCCGGGGCAAGGGTGGGTTTTCTAGAGCTTGCTTTAGGCACTTAACAAATCAGCTTTAATAGAATATCTATGAAACCTTAATCCTTATTAGGATACTGTTTTCTTATAGGACACACAGTAAGAGTCAAGGAGCATCCAGTTGACTTTGGCTTCCAGAAAAAGTAGCTAAGTAAAACTAGAAAGTCATAGAAGGAAGCATAGTATAATTTCAAGTATAACATAAGATCTAAAATATAACACATATTGTTAATTTATTTTCTCTACAGTGGGGTATGAATATCAATTATTTATAAGTACATTCTATGTATAAAGCTGCACAAACAATACCTCTTATCACAAGTAGCTAAAACTACTGTTGTCTCACATAAAAGAAAAATATTGAGGGATAAACTGCTTTATTTATTAATAAATCAAAAAGTGTTTGAAAGCCAGATGTTAATTTCTGTTAAATTCATTGCTGCAAAATGTAATGTTGATTATATGGAACCATATTTTGAAATTCCAGGAGGGCTCTGACTTCACTTGAGTACATATCGAAGATAAGATTTGACCACTGTAGAAAATGATTGATTATACTTGTCAAATGAGGTACATTTTACAATAGTTATAACTTGGGTTAGTAAAAAGTATTCACAGATAATTGGGTGCCACATTCTTGTTTCTGCCATTTTTTAAAGGTGGGTCACCTTCGGCAAGTTTTTAATTTCTCTTACCTTCAGTTTATGTATTTTGAAAAACAAGCTGTAATTCATTCTTACTTCCAAGGTCATGATCAACATCAGAGGATGAATGAAAAGCCCCGAGTGTGTTGTGAGCACTTGTTCAGTGGTAGCTCAAGCTGCAATTACTATTTTAAGACCAAGTGCAAGAATCAGAAAAATCACTTTGGTAATCCTCTTAGAGGCTTTTTTTTTTTTTTTTTTTAACGTGAATTGTTGAAGTCTAAATGGTTAGTATGGATCTCAAAAATGCAAGTGAACACGGTGTACTGAAAATTCATATATTCTAAAGAATTCATGTCAGAGAACATTGGAACACAGTTGCTACTTGATTGCAATTACTAATAAAATGTCTCATGAAGCTTTGAATACCTATATATGCATATAAATCTGAACAGTTTGGCATAACCAGCATTAGATCATATTATTTATTATGGCAAAATGAGACAAATACTCATGTGCAAAAGTAAATTTAATGAGTGTACAAAAAAGTAGAACTAACAAAAATCAAACAGTAAAAAGGAGGTTGAGGAGAGAATTATTCAGGAGATCACTGTATATATGGTCTAGCCACATGGAGCTACAATGGTGAAAGAGAATAAAGGTCTAATTGACTGAAAACTGCTCTTTTGACTGGAAATGTCTATTGATTGGTCTGTAAACTTTTATCTGAGATTTATGTTCTTGATCCATATGTTTATTCATAGGAATTATGTTTCCTTGACATCTATTTAAATTTGTTCTATATTTTTGTGCTGGCTGAAGTCCAGTTATTTACTTTCTTAATACTTTGTGGCCATCAGCGGTGCATTTATGAAAATATATATCAAGTTGGTAATGAGTTTTCACCTTCCTCAACAATGCAACCCTCAATGCTGTACCTGACTCAGAACAATAAATTAATGCTGACACTCTGCAAACAGTATGTGAATATAAATACCAAAATAACATGCCTTTTATAAAATTGAAAATCAATAAATCTCAAAAGTGCAATGTAGAAATAAATTCAGGTGATATAGAGAGTTTTGAGATACAGCTAAAACAGAACACAGGGTCATATATTAGCAATAAATCAGCTACTGCTTGCTAATCTGTGTTGCCTACACAGGGTCCTAGGATATTCCTCCATGTATGTAGAGTTACTCTGTCACAAGAGAAAATAGTTCTTCCCTAAATGACTGATAATTTTCAATATGAAATATTACTTGCCAATTAGGTAAATAGTCCTCAGAAGTTGAAAAATGAGCTATAGCAGTCCAGAAGAAAACAAATTATTGAGGTGGCCAAAGTAAATTTGCTTAAATAAAAGATTCAGAAAATGTTCAGCCAGAAAAAAGTGCTTCCAGTGAGTCTTGGCCCAGAGGTGAAAATCTCAAGGGTTCAGAAAGCAATCAATAAAGAATTAAATATGTATGACACTATGTCTGATGCACCTTTTCCTGGGAGGGTGATACGCAGGATCTTCATTATAAAACTGTAAAGGCTTTGCGTTCTTCTAGATTAAGAGTGAACAAACACTTTATGCTCAATATGGTGTATTTTCTATGAGAAAATACGTTAGGTACTATCTGAACATTTGCAGCTAGACTGATAGGAACCAAATAGACTATTTTACTACCTAGAAGTTATCAAATGCTGTGTCCTTCACCTGCAATTTTACTATATTTGCTTTACTAAGCCAAAGCTTATTGAACATGCGCTATGTAGCTAAGTACCGATGCAGACGTCACACACACACATTTATGTTCTCCCAAGGTTTTGCAATAAAGCAAGCTTTGAGTAAAAATCTGAAGAAAGTAATGGAGTGAGCTGTGCAGTTATCCGAGGAACGAGCCTTCAAGAAAGAGAGACAGCAAAATGTGAGCACATGCGTGGTGAGAACAGTCTGGCAGGAGGAGCGGAGGGAAGGGGAAGGAACGACAAGAGATGGGCTTGGAGTGATAAGGACACTGAGTCCCCGCAGCTGCGTTTGGAGCAGAGGAGCTACAGGAACTGGCGTAGCTTCCATCAAAGACAGGATTGCTCTGGCTGCAGTCTGTAGCTGAAGTCTCCTGTTCCAGACTGTACATGGTCAATAGTTAATACAAACTTCAGGGGTGCTGGCACTGGAGCAGTGGGCTAAAGAAAGATGCCATATGTTATGGTTGATACATTGTGTCAACTTGGGGAGCCTAGAGGTTTGGCTAAGTTACTCAGCAGTTCTACATCCTGGGGTGAAAAGGACATGCCCTTCCTGCTCTAGGATGTTGTTCATTGTGTCAAAGTGAGAAGTCAGAAAGTTAACTAAGCGACTCAGCAGGGAGCCAGGGTGCCTTACTTTGTATTCATACTGAGCCTGTGCAGGAGGAGGGCATGGAGATTATGTGAGTGCTACACACTCCCTGGGTGGGGGTAAGCTGCTTACAATATAAGCAGCTTTTTGCTCTTGTTGCTTTGCTGTCTTTCACCGCCATGAACGTTTGCGTTCTGCCATGTGCCGCTCTGCCTTGGAGCCAGCCAAGAATGGACTGACATCTCCACAAACTGTAAGCTAAATAAACTTTTCCTTCCTTCATTCTGGGCATTGGGTATTTTGTCCCAGCAATGAGAGAAAAATAACCAAGACATCATACGAGCATGTTCTCAGAGCCCAGGCCTTGTAGACATTCTCTTTGATTTCTGATTGTGGAACTGTGGTGATCCAAGCATTTGGACCCTGCTGACAATAATGACAAACTGTGAGAAAGGGTGTAAAATACCCTCTGAAGTGCATGGTTGAGCTGACTTCCACCCTGAGAAGATTTGAACTATGGGTTAAACTTATTTTACGTGACCTTATAGGAAAAATGGGAACGAGAAAAATCTCAAAGAAGGAGACGTGGGACCAATAAGGTAAATAGGTATAGATAGAAATATAGATAGTAGATATGAAATGTTATTTATATAATATATAAATAAAATATATAAAAATCTTATTTATAAATAAATCATACAATCTTTAATTTATGTATGCATATGTACCAGGTTTTGTATACAAGTAAATAGGCATAAGTGTGTAAAATATATATGGTGCATATGAGGTATACTACCAATACACAATATTTCATTCTATAAACTTTAAAAACATTGAAGAAGTATTTTCGTACGTGTTTGGAGTTGATAATGATACCACTCATCTTGGGGAGTAGGCACAGGGGCATAACACATCTTTATTTATTTCACTTCCTTTCTTCCTCCCTCCCCTGCTCTCTATAGTGGTCTGAGTGTGGCTTGATTACTTCATTTGTTCTCAAGGGTCACTACGTCAAATGCTTGGTTGTGGAGGCGAGGGTATTTTGATGTATCGCGGGATTTTGGAAGGTGGGTCCTCTGGTAGTCCTTGGGTGATCCGGTGGTTCTTCTGAGAGTTTTGTTACAGAAGCCTGGGGTTCACCTGTCCTCTCCCTCCTGCCCCTGTTTTGAGATCTTATCATTTGCTTGCTTTCTTATCTGCAGTTTCCATTGTCATTTGTGCTATGAGATGACACCATCAAGGGGCAGCTGTTGAGTCTACTTTGTGCTGTTCAGACCTTCAACCCCCAAGACTGTAGATTGAGTGAAGCTTTTCATCTTACCAGGTAGCTGCCTCATAGTCTTATTTTGTTGTAATAATAAGAAGCTGACTAATATAATATCTATTTCTGTCTACATCCATACAATTCATTGTAAAAATCCACTCACCTAACTGAGGCTGAACAAGTCCATGACCTGCTATCTGTACACCAGAGCCCAGGAGAGCTCATTTGTGCAGTTTCTGCCTGACTAGAAGGCCACAGAAGCAGAGGAACCTGAGGTACAAGTTCCAGTTCAAGAACAGGAGAAGATCCATGTCCCAGCCTGAAAAGAGTAAGGCAGAGAAAATGAGTAAGGCCTACTCAGGCCTCCAATGAATTAGGAAGGTCATTCACATCGAGTGAAGGTCATCTGCTTTGCTCTACTGATTCAAATATTAATCTCACCCAGAAATAGCCTCTCAGACACTTCTGTTATAATGCTTCACCAACAATCTAGGCACCCCATGGCCCAGTTAAGTTGACATAAATGGTCACCACCACAGATTCTAAATGGAAATCATACTCGTTTAAAGTTGGGACCTCAAAAGTTTTTATCCTCAATAACATGATAAAATAGAAATAACTACACAGTTGCAAAGTTAAGCAACTCTCTAGACTTTGGCACTGGATAGAGAGGGCAAAAGGTGCTGCTGAGAATTTGGAACCATAAATTGGCCCGATGTGATTTTGTAATACAAAGCCAAATTACCTGTTTGGCTTCCAGGAACTTCAATTCAAAAATGAAATTAAAATTAAATTATAAAGTTGCAGTGTCCTAGCAGCTTGGCAGAAGCAGACACAAATTCTCTCGGGAGAAACTTACTTTTATATATCCCAACCCTCAAAAAAAATCCCACAATAAATTCCAAAGAAAATAAGCAGTTAAAAGCAAAGAATAAATGAGCATGCAGGGAAATTCAACCAAACCTCGCAAACACAACAGGCCTCAGAGATAGGGAGGAAAAGAAATTCAGATAGGACATGAGACAAATACTTAAAATGATTATGTTTCAAAGAAAGAAAATCAAGCATAAAATATGTCATGCAGGTAAGAATCTTAAAGAATTACCAGAGCAGATAAAGAAACCAGGTAAAATACTGGGAAATGCCTACCCCAACCCATTGTCACCACAATAAAATTAAAAGTTTATAATTTCACCCAGCACATTAGATACAGATGGAGAGGAAATGTGTGAAGCATATTACGGACCTGAGCCAGAAAAATGCATTACAATGGAACAGAGCCCCACAAAATCAAGAGCCATGGGGAGAAAATGAAAGTGTATTAGCTATTTACTGATGCATAATAGTATTAACTCACTTTCCAGAAGCTTAAAGCATCCCGTATTTATTATGTCAGTTGCTGTGGCTCAAAAGTCCATACATTCCTAAGGATTTCCTCCTTAGGATGTCACAGGAGGCATTAAGGTGTTGACTGGGGTGGCATTCCCATCTGAGGTCTGACATGGTGTCTTGGTTTAAATCTAAAACATCCCCTCAAAGTCTCATGTTCAGACAAGGAGATTTTGGGAGGTGATGGATTATGGGAGTTCTGTACTCATCAATGGGTTAATCTATTGATGTGTTCATAGCTGTATGCTAGGAGGTGGGGCCTGGTTGGAGCAAGTGGGTCTGACTTGGAAGGGTGTATTTTTGTCCTCTGCCTTTCTCTCTCTCTCTCTCTCTCTCTCTCTCTCTCTCTCTCTCTCTCTCTCCCTCTCCTCCTCCTCCTCCTCCCTCTTTCTCTCTCCTCTGTTTCCTGGCCATGATGTGGTGAATAGCTTCTTACTACCATGCCATTTTTGCTTTGGAGCCAGTTGACCATGGACCAAACCCACTGAAACTGTGAACCAAAAGAAGCCTTTCTTTCTGTGCATAGCAGGTGTTGGGTATTTTGTCTAAGCAATGAGAAAATGGCTAATATACATGGAAATGGTCCATTTACACTTTCATTCAGAGCACTGCCAGAATTCAGCTGTCTGTGATCGCAGAACTGAAGGCTTCAATTTCTTGCCAGCCTTTTTCTGGAGGTTATCCTTAATTTCTAGAGCCCTTATATAGTTCCTTGCCATATATGGTTATCTAACATGGTTTCAGTCTTCCTTAAAACCTCGAAAAGAGAGGAGGAGGGAGGGAAAAAGGGAGGGAAAGAAGGGAAGGACAGAGCTATTGTAATCTTTATAACAATTATGTAATCATCTGCATTTAGTCACCTGTATTCCATGACCCTTACCATATTCTATTGCTTAGAAGGCAGTTGCAGAACAAACCCACACCCAGTACAGGGTGATTGTATAAGGGCATGAATGTCAGGCAGCAGAGATCATGAAAGCCACCTCAAGAATCTGTCTGCCATAGTAATGGTCTAGTTGGTATTCAAGAAGAAGGTAAGGAAAGTTGGGAAAAATATTCTGAAACACATAGATGAAAAATTTGTAGAACAAAAGAAATACACTAAACCCTGGATTCAGAGAGTCCAAATAAGTTGAAGCAAAATAAGATTAATAATAAAACCTAATATCACCAAACCCAGGCGCATTTGAATTAGAAATCAGAACACAAACGTTATAGAGATTATTCTTTAAGCAGAAGGAAGGAATGAATTTGTCCTGTAGGAATGCTAGGCTGAGAGCTGGCTTTTCAGCAGTGCAAACCAGAAGGCAATGAAGGAAAAGCTGAGTAGAAGTTCTGAGAGAACAGACTAGCAAACTAGGATTCAATAACTTGCAAAAATATCTTCAAAGAATTTGAATAATAGAAATGCATTTTAGAGAAACAAAAACAAAGAGAGTTTGCTATCAGGGGATTTTCATAAATTCTAAACGATGTTCTTCCTTTAGAAGAAAAATGACTAGAGATGAAAGTTCTGAAATGCAAGAAAAACCCCAAAGAACATGGGAAGACTTAAATAAATGACTTCTGGGTTTGCTTATGATGGCTTAATATAAGTTATTGGGGTGAGAGTGAATGAAGGCCAATTCTCCTAAGATGTTGATTCTCAAATCATCTGTGATGAAAGACAAGTCCTTAATTGCCCCAACAAAATTAGTTACCCAGAAAAATAAAGTGAAAAGACATAAAAAGCCAAACCTTAAAAGTAAATAAATAAAAGTAATAATTATGATAATGGCTTTTATCAAGAAATCAAGTAATAACAGATACTGGCAAGGCTGTGAGAAGAAAGGACCCTTCTATTGATGGTGGTAATGGAAACTAGTACAATCACCATGGAAATCAGTATGGAGATTCCTCATATACTGAAACTCAAAGTTCCATTTGACCCAGCTGTTCTAGGAATCTTCCCAAAAGAGTTAAAGTCATCACATGACAATGATGTAAGCATAGCCAGTTCACTGCAGCACAATTCACAGCAGCTAAACCCTGCAAACGGCCTGTATGTCTATCAGCAGAGATACAGGAGAAAGAAAGTGTGGCATTTACATACCCTGGAGCACTGCTCTAATAAGTTAGATAAACGTGAGGTATTTGTAGGAAAATGAATGCTCCTTGAGACCATAATGTTAAGTGGAATAAGTCAGACACATGAGCTTAACTATCACATGGTTTCTCTTACATGAGAAACCCAAATTATACATAAAGAACAAAATAGAAGAGAGATAATAGGGAGTAGCAATATCGATCTTCCTCAAACAGGAAAGGGATCAAGGGATGGAGGAAGTGGGGAGGGATGGCAAGGGAAGGGGATGAGAAAGGAATTAAAGTGTGTTAGGTACACGAGCCAGCTCCACACAAGGAGTATGAACTTTAGGCACTGCAAATACATACTCATAGAAGTCGCAAAAAGAAGAACAGTAAATATAATAATCATTGGATTTGTTCCTGGTACTTTCTTTTGTGCTTGTAGTAAATTGACAAATTTAATCATGAGAACAACCCCTGATGATAGGCTATATTTATTAACATCACTTTACAGTTAAGGTTACTCTCAATGGAAAAGTTAGGAAATAATTAAACAAATAATTAAATATAATGTAAAAACAGACTTTTATGATACAAAATATCCCAAATAAAAAGGCTCAACAAAGCCAGAAATCTTTTGATAAAATTGATGAACTTCTGGCATGGTTGCTCAAAAAAAAGAAGAAAAACATGGTAAATCATATCAGAAAGGGGACATAACTACAAAAATAATCAATATATTTGTAAGCATAATAAAAAGGTATTATGAAGAATACAAAATAGCAACTCTAAAAACGCATAAATGATAACTGCCTACATAACATGGATAGATCTTAGAAATACAATGTTGAGTGGGCTGGGGATTTAGCTCAGCGGCAAAGCGCCTGCCTGGCAAGCGCAAGGTTGTGAGTTCGGTTCCCGGTAGCGGAAAAAAACCAAAAAAAAAAAAAAAAAAAAAAAAAGAAAGAAATACAATGTTGAGTAAAATTATAAGTGGCATTAAATCAAGTGAAATGAATCAATATATATTTTTAGAGATACATACATAACACTAAAAGTATTGGAAAATAAAGCAAATAAAGGATGAACAGATGGTTCCACGTGATGTTTTCTGGGGAAAGAAGAGGAACAGGTAAGAAACCCTTAGAGAGAGGCAGCATGGCTGTGTATATTTTAATTTTTAGTCTGTGTTAAGGGGTAATAAGCATTTATTTATTTTTGGAGTTTACCAATTACATTAGAGTTTCATGCTTCCAAACTAACCATATTCTATTATCCTATTCACTTTTAAATATAACTTTCTAACAATCAAAGGCAGAGATTTTTGCATCTAACTGTGCTCTTCTTCTCTTATCTAAAACATTTTAATCCCACGGCAGCAAAATTTGCTCATTCTTTCCTTTCATGAACAATTATAAATTACCGAAACGCCATATTAGGAACAACAGTATGTTAGGAACAACATATTAGGAACAACAATACTCAACTAGAGTATGGAAGTATGGGGATGTTTGAGTAACAGCGCACCAAGTCTGACAACATTGGAAACAGGTGGGAAAGGACTTGGACCAGGTAAACAGGAGAAGGTTCCAATTCAT